CCCTCCCTCCCTTCCTTCCTTCCTTCCTTCCTTCCTTCTTTCCTGCCTTCCCTGCCTTCCTGCCTTCCTGCCTTTTTTTCTTTCTCTCTCTGTCAGTATTGCATGCCTACCGTGTGTATGCACTTTTCTGGGGCTGAATACACATGGTTAAACCAAACAGGCAAAATATTTTGCTTTCAGGAAACTTACATTCCAGTGGGGAAGACAGACAGTCAACGTAAAAGTAAACAAGAAAATATTACTAGACGAGTGATCAGATGCAAACGTTAACGGATATGGTAGAGACTGACCGGAGAGCTGCTCCAGCAAGCGGGGACAGGGAGGCCTGCCTGGGGGACAGCAACAAGCAGAGACCTCAGCGGTCAGGAGAGACAGGAGGGGAGAGCAGATGGGGAAAGCCGGCCAGAGAGACCAGGCGATGTCGCAGCAGCAGTGAGCACGGCGTGTTCGAGGAACAGGAGGAAAACCAGGCCGCGCCGGAGCCTAGGGAGAGAGGGAAGCTGGTGTGAGACGTCCGACCAGCGGGAAGGCTCTGCGTCCTGTGAGGTCTCACGGGGCTTGGGTTTTAGTCCAAGGGCAGTGGGAAGCCATTGGAGCTTTACGATCAAGAGTAAGTGTGATTTATGTATGAAACAGACCTGTGGCTGTTGTGTGAGCCGATTAAAGGGGATGCTGTAAACTAGAAGCAGAAAATCCCGTTGGGAGACGACTGCAGAGGGCCCGGTGAGAGAGGGTGGAGCAGCAAGGTGCCAGGCGTAGAGTAGGACGGAGATTTGGATGATATTCTGGAGGCAGAACCGAATTTGCTTGTGGGTTGGATATAAATCTACCAAGATGGGGGATATGGGGATAAGACCTGGTTTGTGTCCAGGGAGCCAAGTGTTCACTTTTGGAAAGGTTAAGTTGAGGATGACCACTAGATAATCTAAGTAAGGATCTAGAGTAGGCAATCGCTCAGGGGTGGAGTCAGGGCTGGAGATATACATTTGAGAGTTTTGGGCATTGTGATGGTATTTTAAAGCTATGGGATTAGATGAATTTTTCTAGAAAGGGAACCTAGAAAGAGAAGAAGAGTTTCATGACCAGCCCCAACGTTAGGGGTCCAACCTTCAGTAGTATCTTGCTTAATAGTGTAACTTGTCTCAGCTATACTATGGCAATGAGAGGAACTGTAAAATCCATATTTTGTCCCCCTAAGGTCAGTCTGCTGATTGTGGCTGCAGCAGACGTTGGTGTGAGAGACACCCAAGGTTAATTTAGGGTCTGGAGTAAGGTCCCTCCCAAGTAGAAAGTCTCCCTCCATCGCCAACTTTTCAAGGTATGGGTTTAAATTTGTTAACCAAGTCAGCAGATTTTCCATGTATATCCTGATTTTGCAAATAGGAAAAGCGAGTTTCAGAGCTTAGTGTCTTGTGGAACTCATGCTCAAGTTAAGCTGACGTAAATCTAGCACGTTCGTAATCTCAACGCTCTGGAGTATTTGGCCCAGTTGACCATTTTCTTTCCTTGAAATCTCTGTCTTGGCTCCTACAACCATTAGTCCTTTCTAGTTCTTCTCCCTGCCCGACCCAGCTCTGAGTGTCCCTTGCTAACTGCCCTCTCCACGTTCTTTGCTCATTCCCTGGATTCTACCTGAGGAACGCTGTCTGTTTCCCCAGACTCAGTTCCCACCTGTATTATGATGATGCCTGAATCTCTGTATGAAGCTCACCTAGAAAACGCACAGTTTCCAGCAGCCTAGTTTTGGCTCTGCCCCTAACTAATTCTTTAAACGAGGCCAATTTGCAAACCCTCTGGGCCTCCGTTTCTCCATTTGTACAATGAGAGAATTAGACTAGAGGATTCTGAAGTTCCTTCCAGTGTTCATATTCTGATTCTAGACCCTATGCTGCTTCTAATAATCTTAGTCGTGGTAATGACACACGTTACCTACTCAGTGTCAGACACTGAGCCAAGCATTGTGCACACATTAATGTATTTAATTCTCCTAGCAAATCCCCATGAGGCAGGAGCTATTATTATCCTTATTTTATAGTTGGGGAAATCAAGGTCCAGATTATGTAATTTCCTGCTGTTTTATGACCCAAAGCGGCAGAGTCAGGATTCAAACCCAGGTTTGGTCTGGAGCCGGCGTCACTCAGTCCCTGCTCTGTCCCTGCTGTTTCCCTTTCGAAGGCCCTGATCCCTGTGCTGCCTTCTCGCCTTAGCCCCGGTCACTCCTGCCTCCTCTCGATTTACTCCCGTTACCTCTCTCCACTGAGTCTTCAACCTCTTTCTCTCTTTGCCCCTAAGGGCTGTTTTTTCACCCTAAAACAAAACAAACGAAAAGCACCTTGCTTTGGACCTCCGGCCTTCATTCACCGCCTCAGCTCGTCCTCACTGCTCCGGCACTGTCCCCTCCACCCAGAGGCCTTCCCTGACTCTCTTGAATAAATCAGCTTCCCACCTCCAGGCACTTCTATTTGGGGAAAGTTAAGTTTGAAATGCCCATTAGACATCTAAGCAGAAATGGCAGGTGGACAATTGGATATAAAATTCTGGAGCTTAATTTCCACGGCACCTAACACTCCACTATTAAAGTTAACTTCTGTATTTTTTATTTTTGTGTGACCCCCTCAACCAGAACACAGACTCCGTGAGAGCCAGCACTGTGTCCTGTTCACCACCAGCAAAGAATTAGCTGTGGAGAGGGCTCGGAATAACAGTGTGTTAGTGTCCCAGGGCGGCTCTAACGCATTGTCTCAACCTGGGTGGCTTAAAAGAACAGAAGTTTATTCTCTCACAGTTCAGGAGCCTAGACATTGGAAATCAAGGTGTTGGCAGGACCACACTACCTCTGGAGACTCTAGGAGAGAATCCTTCTTTTCTTCTTCCAGCTCCTGATAACTGTCTGCGTTCCTTGGCTTCCTTGGCTTGGGGCCCCGTTGCTCCCATCTGGCTCCATCTTCACAAAGTCTTCCCTTCCTTTGTGTGCCCCTCCTCTTCTGGCTCTTGCAAGGACATTTGTCATCGGATGTAGGGCCCACTTAGATAATCCAGGATGATCTGGTCATAATTTAATGACATCTGCAAATTTTTACCTTTTTACGATTATTTACTTTATAGTAACATTCACAGGTTCCAGGGATTTAGACATTGGCAGGGGGAGGGCGCACCATTCAACCCGCTACACAGGGCACAGGAGGAGTTCAGGAATGTCTTTCTCCAACCTTTATGCTGGCTGATTTAAATGTCCTTCAAGATCCAGCGCAGTGGATGCCCAGTCAAGGGAGCCACACCCCCATTCCCATTGCATGCCCCTCCATTAATAATAATAATAATAGTTATTTAGGACTTTATGGGTAGGAACTCACTTAATTCTTGCTACAACCCTGTGAGATGCTCCCTATTACTATCCTTATTCTACTGAATGCTAATAGTCTGCTTTGTTGTGTCTTTCCCCCGGTAGACCTCCTCAGGGCTACAACAAATAGTCATCCCTCTGTCCCCAAGACACAGCATGGCACCATGTTGTGACTATAACTTTTGTATTTATATAGGGATGGTTCACAGACATCCCTAAGTAGAGCATCATGCCTTCGTTTTTTTAAAAAGATTTTTTATTGACTCTTAGAGAGAGAGGAAAGGAGAGGGGGAGAGAGAGAAACACGGACGGGAGAGTAAAACACGGGTCGGCTGCCTGCTGTGCGCCCCTGCCGGGAGGCAGGCCAGCAGCCCTCAGGGCAGGGACTGCGCCGACCGCCTGAGCGGTGCTGGCCATCACAAGCACCACACTTTCTTTTGCTCTCACAAACTTTTCTAATACCTCTCTCCTGGAAAAAAATTAAGCACCCAGACAGGCATCAATAAATTTCTCAGCTTCATATTGTTAGACGTTACAAAGTTAGAAAACAAAATTAATAAGCTTTTAAAAGTACCTTTGAAATTGCTTATTTTTTCCTTTGTAATTTATGTTTGTTTTGACAATGTACATTAGTATACTAGTCCGTGCATATGGTTTTAAATAAATAAATGCCCTGGGCGACTTGTCACCCCCTAAGCCTCTCCCATTCTTTCTAGAGCTTTGTGCTCTTGTTACGCTTTTTCTCAGCCTGGTTTCTCTTTTCTCCATGTGGCGGGGTCCTAGTGATTGCTCAGTCCTTCCCCAGCGTCCAGAGGCACAGCTAATCACTTTGTTTCTCTTCCTTTAGAATATGCCTCATTGTGGCCCATCTCACCTTGGGTTGCCCTTGCCTTGGTCGTGTCTCCCCTAGTGGCTGACGGTGGCTCCCAGAGGTAAGGACCATTCGTGGTCGTCACTTTGTCCCTAATGCCACCGTGCAGTTCCAAGGAGTGGGTGTTGCACGTGTTAAATGAATTTAGTCATCTCACAACGTTCAA